ACCTCAGTCCTGAGGTGCTGAGATCCCACAGAGTTACAGAACCCCTGACTGTTTTAGATCAGGTTCTGTGGAGCCGGGCTGAGCTCTGAGGCTGCAGGCCCTGCTCCCGCCCATGGCTGTGTGATGGTAATGGAGCCATCGCTGGGGGAGGGACGGGCTTGGAGCCTCCCCCTGGTGACTCTGAGCTGGGAACTCTCCAGTTTGGGTCCTTGGGACAGCTCCCACCGAGGGTGTCCCTGTACAGAGCCTGCTGGGCATCACCCAGCACTTGGGCTCCATCAGCTGCAGCCTCACGGGAGGGCTTGCACCCACCTGCTGTGGGTTTGATTTCTGTCCTTGGGATTCATGAGAGCCAACTGACTGCTTTCAGACCTTCATGAGTAACCAAACTCTGCTTGTCTTTGTTGCAGACATCTGCTCCACCACTGTTTCCAGGCTCTGATGGACCATGGAGTCAAGGTTGCTTCAGTCCTGGCCTATTCCTTCAGCAGACGGTGCTCCTACATTGCAGAGTCAGATGCTGCTGTGAAAGAAAAAGCAATCCAGATTGGCTTTGTCTTAGGTAACTGCTGCTCATGGGCTCTTTGCTTTCTCTCTTGCAAGCTTCAGTTAATGTAACATTAATTTTTTTCCTGTTAAAGGTAAGCCTTTTAAAGAGCTGTGTGTTTGGAATGGAATTTTTAGAAAGCTACTTGTGTCTTAAAAGAAATATATTGGATTTTAACATCTAAGAATGTATAGATTTTGTAATTCAGACAGTTTAGGGTTAAAATTGGTTTGCAGATGTGATGAGGAATTTGCATGATTTTAGTGCAGGTGAGTTCTGGGGTTTTTGGACAGAAATGTAGGAAAACTCTGTAATACCAAGAAACCATCCTAAACCCAAGTATTATTTCCTTCAGCTGTAGGAGAATTCTCCTCTTAGATTTTGTCCTTTCCAGGTCAGGAGGGTTTGACCTTGACAGGATTTCTGTCTGTTGGAGCAGGTCCATGAAATAACTGATCATCTTGTAAGACCTGAACAAACCCTTTTTCTCTTGAAAGCGAGTTTTGCTCTTCAAATTGGTGTTTGTTGCTGATTTTTGCAGGGGGGTTCCTGTCAGATGCAGGCTGGTACAGTGATGCTGAGAAGGTTTTCCTTTCCTGCCTTCAGCTGTGCACCCTCCACGATGAAATCCTTCACTGGTTCCGTGCTGTGGAGTGCTGTGTGAGGTGAGCTCACCTTGGATTCCCAGGAAACCTCGGAGCCCTCCAGCTCCAGGTGCTCCCTTGGTGTTCTGCTGCACCAAACACTGTCCTGGCTGGAGCTGGAGATCAGGAGGTGCTTGTTTTACACTAATCCCTGGATTTTCAGCTTCTAAGTTGGCAGCAAAGTACAATGGATTAAAAACCCCAATGTTTTGCTATCCTGTGTAATCTCTCATGAGTAACACTGCTGGATAATAAGAGTGGCCCAGCAGTTCTTGTTTCCCAAGGATTTTTGCACGTGAAGGAATGTTCTGTGTTGGACTTTGCTGAAGTGCTATTTGCTACAGAGAGAATTTGCCAAATCCAAATGCAAACATCACAGATACAATTGAGCAGAGATAAAGGCAGAACTTCCCTTTCCTGATTCCAGATCCAGCAAGTTTTCTTGCTCCATGCTGAGTGCTTAGCACTGGGCCTGGGAAAAGATCTGGGTGTCCAATTCCTGTGGGCACCTCTGGCCACAGCTGAAAGAAAGCATTTGGAAAAGTTGGGGTTTTTTTGCTGTTAGAGGTTTTGAAGCTGCCTTTTTCCTCAGGGCCTGCAGGGGTTCACTTTTCATTGACAGAGCCTCTGTTGCTGTTCCCCTGTGTGTTGAGGTGTGATGAGCTGCAGGCAGGAGCTGGCTGGGTTTTGTTGCTCTCACCATGACCAGGCTGGTTTTGCCCACCCTGTGGGCACCTGGAGGCTGCTGGGCAGAGTTCAAGTAGGATTTTTATGTTTTTAGCTGCTCTAACAAAGAACAAAGCATGTGCTGTATTTATCTGAATCTAGAGCAAAACTTGTTTGGAAAGCTGCTCCCAAAAAAGCCTTGCATCGTGTTTATGGTTGGGCAGACACGAAGAGTGGAGAGGCTTTGCCAAGAGCTGCTGATGCCCTGTGCCAGCCCAGGGCCATGGCAACGCTGCCCTGCCTGGTTCTGCTGGCTGCCATTCCAGAAATGATGCCAGGAGCCCGGGCACACAAATCCTAGAACTGGGGAGTGATGGACACGGAGCCACAGTCACTGCTTGGTCCTTTGCCTTCTAATTAATCTAAAAAAAGTTTTCTCGTTACATCAGGCTCTTTGGCAAGCTGGAGAAGTTGCTTAAAAATAACTGTCACCTTCTGCAAATAGAAATGAAAAGAGGGAACAGAAAGGGAGGGAAAAAGGAGAAGTGTCTCTGCTGGACAGTAGTGTGGAAAGGAGATTTCATTCTGTGCAGGAGAAAGCAGCCTGTGTTGGACTGACCCTCCTGACCTGGGGTGGTGTCAGAGACTTCCATTGTTCCCTGGGGAGCTCTGCTGGGCCATCCCCCCTCTGGGCAGCAGGAAATGTTCTGGCATCTCCCAAACCCTCAGCATGGCTGCTTTGGAGTTGTATCAACCTGAAAAATCTCAAACACTTTGGAAAGGGCTAAATGTGTAAAATCTGAACACCTCTGTGTGGCAGAGAGCAGTCATTAGACTGATTTTTCTGCCTTTCAGCTTGAGAGTAAATGGTGCTGTAAGCACCTGGTCCCTCTGCAGGAGGCTCTCACACTGGAGCTGGGGGGAGTTTTAAGGAAACAAAATTCAAGTCCAGCTTTTGAAAGTATGACACTTTCTCTGGCAAGCCAAACCTCTGGGAGTTGAATTAATGCATTGCACTATTAATAGAACACAGTTTAAAAATGTGTGAAGTTTTGTGTTAAGCACAACTTGGTGTTTCCCTGTCCTGGCAGTGGTGAATTCTGTGGAGAAGCTGGGACGGTGTGAGGTTTCTCTGGGCTTGCACCCTGCTTTTCTGGAGTGTGGTGCTCCTTTGGTTTGCCTTCTGTCATTGTTCTGTGTTGAACAGAGAGGTACAAGTGCAGAACGCAAATACGTGGTTCTCCCACTTCATTGTTGCACATTTGGCTGGTTCCTGGATTGTTTTCTTCTGGTGGTTTTAGACTTGCTAAGCTGCCGTGTTGGCTCTGAGACTGGGTTTGCTGGGGGAGGTTAGTCCCCAAAAGCTGTTATTGCAGACATCAAAGGAGCTGCAGAGCCATTAGCATAAACGTCCTGAGGCCTCTTCTCTTCCTCTTGGCTTTATCTCCTAAGATTCCTTTGGATTAATAAAGGATTTTTTGTTACTCAGAACTGGATCACATAAACTCTGCTTATCCTAGAGGATTGGCTTAGGTTTAGCTTGGGTTTTGGGGAGATTTCTTTGTTTCTAGACACTATCACTGAAGCATCCAGGCACTGGATAAGATCTTTCCCAGGAGCTTATCTAAATTGCAGTGCTATCCCCACTGGCTTATTCCATTACATGGGATTTGGGCTCCGTGGTTTTGATGTTGCAGAGCAGCTCCCAAGTGAATGGTGTTGGCAAAATGGTTTTTTCTCTTAAGGAAAACTGTTTACTTAATTCTTCTCTCCTTTCTTTATAATTCCTGTCTCTTGTTGCTGGAATGTTCCTGTGACCAGGCACACAATGCACTTGTACATCGTGTTTGCTTCTGGGGCTTTATTTAAGGGAAAATGTGGGTGTTGCTTTTTGCTGTCTTGTTGTTGAGCCAAGGTGCTGGTTCCCACTGGAGAGCTGGAATTTGTGTAGCTTTTGCAGGGTTTTGAAGGGCTTTTCTTTTGATGTTCTCTTTGTGCAGCAAATCCACATCTGTCATGTGCCTGCCTTCAGGCCCTGCTTAGGAAAATGGAAACTTTATTTCCTTTCTTGTTCCTGTTGGGGGTTTGGTGATGCATTTGGGTGGGAAATGGAGGGACAGTGTTGAACAGGCAATTCCTAGGATGAGCTGAGCTGTACCACTGGGGGAATGGCTGCATAGCTTACATCTCTATTTGGGGCAAGTGAAAACAGGTTTAGGAAAGAAATTGAGCAAAATTTTCATTGTTTGCTCCTTCCCCTTTAACAATTGATTGGAAGTTTTATCCCAATGTGTGATATCAGGACTAAAATGCAGTTCCTGCACACTTACCCACATAGTCAGAGTTTGGGCCTCTTTGCAGTGCAGCCTCACTTTGTGCTTCCCTTCCCTCTGTGCAGTTCTCCCTGTGCTGTGTTGCCCTGATTTCCCCAGCCTTGCCTGCTGTGTTCAGTCTGTTACTCACTGTCTAATGACACATTTCCAGCAGGGACAGTGGAGTGAATTCACCACAATTCCATGGCTGCTCACTGGCAGGTGTTTGCCATGGAGCAGGAGCAGCTGCCCTGGCTGGGAATCCAGCTCTGCCCTTGGGGCTTGGAATATCAACACACACCCATTCCAGATGCACCTGGTTACAGCCAGGGAGCACCAGCCTGCTCTCATGCACAGATGCTTTGGTTTTATCTGTAACAAGTGCCACAAGCTGGAACTGTTACTGCTCTGGAGAAACAGGAGGAGGTTTCACTGGTGCTGGGTGTTACTGGCTGTGTTTGGGTGTCCATCCTTCAGATGGAAAGGCAGCAGCAGAGCAGAGGGAAGAGCAGGGGATGTTTGAGTTGTTGTGATCAATGAAATGGTGGTGCTGGTTCTCATGTGGAATGGATGTGATGAAATCTCACATGAAAACCTCCCCCAAGCCCCAAAGCACAGAAATGCCCACTTGGAGCTACTCAGGGTTTGGGGGGGAAGTGCAGGGATGCAGGAAAATGAGCTGTGTTGTGCTTACTGTGGCTGCTTGGGGTTCCACCCTTTGGGAAGGAGTGGAAGGGATCTCAGGCTGTGCAGGGCAGGGCTTTGGGGGTGGAATCTCATCACTATTGGGAAGAGTAGATTTTATGGAAAACAACACAGAAAGGCACCACACTAGAATGGTTCAATGCAAAACTGTATCAATAGGTAAAATGCTGTGGCATCTCCAGCAGGAGGAATTGCTGCCCTGTGCCCAGGCAGGGCAGCTGTGCTGGGCTGGCAGAGCTCCAGCCTGAGAGATCCCTGGTGCTGCTGCAGGCAGAGCCTCTGCAGCTCCCTCAGCAGCTCCCTCTGCATCCCCAAGGTTGCTGCACGTCCGGAACGGGAACTGCAAGTACCACCTGGGAGAGGAGACCTTCAAGCTGGCGCAGTCGTACATGGAGAAGCTGGCCAAGCACGGGCAGCAGGCCAACAAGGCGGCGCTGTACGGCGAGCTGTGCGCGCTGCTCTTCGCCAAGAGCCACTACGACGAGGTGAGGCCCGGGCTCCCTGGCACTGCCCCCTCCTGGCTGTCGGATCTCAGAATCTCAGTCCTGAGATGCTGAGCCTCCGAGACCAGCTTGGGGGGCTCGGGAGTCCTGGAATGTTGCCAGAAGTGTCTGGTAGCTGGACTTTAACCCTACACAGGAGACGACAAGGATGAGGGCTTCACAGGGTGAATGGCGAAAAGATTAGCTAATTAGAGAGTGAGACACAAGGTTTAGGATTTATGTACAGGGGGGTTTAGAGGAGTAAGATGGAGGAATTGGGGTGTGTCCTGTCCTCCTTCTTCTTCCTCCTCTCCTCCATCTTCTTTGGCCACGGTGGCACCTTTGGATTGGTTATTATTGAGAGTACACCGAGTTATAAGAATAGATGGTATTGGGGAAAAATGATAAATATTGTATACGTAACAATGGGTATAAAGATACGTGGCTGCCCGGGAGGGCAGACAGTGTGCTCATGGCTGACTGCTGAGCGGATCTTTGTTCGGCTGAAAGAAAATCTTTTAGATAAACAATTAATAAACATAAAAACCAGAAAGAAGAACTGAAGCCTCTTCTCGTCCTTCGATACGCGGGCTGCCCCAAGGCCACCCCGGGCCTTTCCAGGCCCCTCAAACAGCCGAGATAAACCGGACACCTGCCTGGGGCTGGCCAGCCCTGCTTCTGCTCTGCTTGGCACCTGTGTGGCACTGCCAGAGCGATAATTCATTATCCACTCCCGTTTCCATGGGAAATTTGAGGCTCTTGCTATTTCTTTGTGGAAAATGTGTATAACTGTCTTACTAGTTATACTGTGTTACTTTCTTACTTTAGTTTAAACTGTCTAACTCTCAGTATTTATCTTTAAAACTTGGAGTACTTAGCATACAGACACTGAAGTGCCTTTGTGGTTTTTACCATTAGACTCTTGGTTCTTCCAGTAAATAAGAACAGGCAACTTGCAATTGCTAAGTATATGTAAAAAATTCAAAGTAGGTCATGTGAAACTGTAAAATAAGTCAAAATTCAAATAATGAGATGAACACCATTTGCTGGTTCTTGATTCCAGTGTGTGTTGTGCAGGTACTTTGTTTCACTATGCCCTGGAGTAGGTCAAAGTCTTGCTTGGTTATGTCATCCAGAAAATCTGGGAATCTTGTTCTGTGTTAGGCTGTGAGCTCTTCACAGCACTTGGACCAACATGAACCTACAGGTGTTACCTTGCCTCTATGTGTTGGTCACCTGTAAATGAAATATTATAGAAGCTTATTTTAATAATTGAAATTGAATAGCAGAACTTGGTTTATTAAACTCTGTGTGAAGTGTAACTACTCCATGGTTTTCCTTTAACCCCTAAGTTTACTGACAGAGTGTTGTCCTGCACAATGGGAATTGTGAGGATTTCTTAAAGATTATAAAATACCCTGTTCTGTCTGTAAAAGTCATTGTAATATTAACCTTAGATTAATATAAAATACTTAGTTATTCACTATTAACCTTAAAAGTGGTTTTTAAGCCTGTCTTTGAAGGCATAGCTGGACAATTAATTACATGTAAGCACTCAAACTGCATATTTCAAATTTTGGAATGTAAATGATCAGCTTTTCAGAGGCAGGTCGTATTTTAATGCTGCAATGTTGTGAAGTCCCAGCCTCCATTGTGTTGGTGCCTCTCTGTCCCACAGGCCTATAAGTGGTGCATAGAAGCCATGAAGGAGATCACAGTTGGGCTGCCTGTGAAGGTGGTGGTGGATGTGCTACGACAGGCATCAAAGGTGAGTCTGAAATCTCCCCTTTGCTTTGGGTGCTAAATTAGTGCCAAGAATGGCTGAGGAGAGGTTGTTACTCCAGAATTCTCCTCAGGGGCCCTAAGGGTTGTTGTTTGTGTTTGTCCCAGAATGGGTGGGGGAGTTTGTTTCTGTTTGTGTCTTTCTGAAATGGAGTCAGAGCTGCACAAGGGACCCTTGGGACAATGTCAACCTGTGAACTTCCCCAGGAGGGCTCTGACCCCTCTTTGGTCTGGACTGGGTACAGCACAATCCCTTCAGTCAGGCAGCATAAAATCAGTTTGTTAATGCTGTGCTCCTTTTCCTAAATAACCAAAAAGTCTTTTAATAACCACAAGGATATTTTGAAATTAAAACCAAGGGTAAGTGTGGCAGTGTCTGGGGTCTGGACTGGGAACAGCACAATCCCTTCAGTCAGGCAGCATAAAATCAGTTTATTAATGCTGCGCTCCTTTTCCTAAATAACCAAAAAGTCGTTTAATAACCACAAGGATATTTTGAAATGAAAACCAAGGGTAAGTGTGGCAGTGTGTGGGGCTGAGCTGTGAGTGCTCAGCTGCTCACGGCTTCCCTCCCCCTGGCCAGGCCTGCGTGGTGAAACGGGAGTTCAAGAAGGCAGAGCAGCTCATAAAGCACGCCGTGTACCTTGCCAGGTAAGGGCCATTCCAGAAAAACCCTTCTGAAATCGTGCTCAGCTGGCCTCAGGTTGTGATGCAGGTGTGTTTGTGCAGGGAGCATTTTGGAGCCAAGCACCCCAAGTACTCTGACACGCTACTAGACTACGGATTTTACCTGCTCAATGTAGACAACATCTGCCAATCTGTTGCCATCTATCAGGTAGGCAGCAGGACTTGTTTGTCTTGCTGGTTTTCATCTCTTAGATGTTGTAGTTAATTCATGGAGATAGAGAATAGTTGATTTCATTACTGTAATTGTGATGTTTGAAAAATCCCCAAACACTTCCAGCTATTGGGGTTTTGCTTTCTTTGTCTTCCTGACTCCTGTCCTTTATATAACTAGTGTCTCAAATATGTAAAGACTTTCAAAGCCAGTAGATTCATCATAGAGATGAATTTGGGGTTTTTTCCTGTGTTAACTGATGAAATTGTGTTTTTGGACCCCTTGCAGACAGCGCTCGATATCCGGCAGTCGGTGTTTGGAGGTAAAAACATCCACGTAGCCACAGCTCATGAGGACTTGGCTTATTCTTCATATGTCCACCAGTACAGCTCTGGCAAATTTGACAATGCACTGTGAGTACAGCACACAGCAGCACAGTTAGTGCAGTAAATGAAGAAAAATATTCATTGCATTAATATTTCTAATTTTTGGTCAATCAACTGCTGGCATACATAAACAGATCCTGAATTTTTTATTTCATCTCTCCCAGATTCCATGCTGAACGTGCTATTGGCATTATCACTCACATTCTCCCTGAAGACCATCTCCTCCTGGCTTCTTCAAAGAGAGTTAAAGGTAGTTCCCTTTGTTGTTTGAACCATCTGGTTGTGCTCATCCTGGTCCTTTCCAGGCAATGCAGCTTGAGTTGTCTTTTCCAGTGGAGGTGTTTGTAGTCCTTGGTGTTTAAAGCACACTTGTAACAAAAAAACCAAAAACTTGTGTAGATGAGTTGGAGCGGGATGGGGGTGAAATTATAGAATATAAAAATGTGCAGGGTGACAGACACAGAGCTGGTGGGCTGGGCCCTGGTTCTGAGCTGGCTGTGGGCACAGTAACAGCTGCTGTCTCCTGCCCCCAGCACTTATCCTGGAGGAGATTGCCATAGACTGTCACAACAAGGAGACAGAGCAGAGGCTGCTCCAGGAGGCCCATGACCTGCACCTGTCCTCGCTGCAGCTGGCTAAAAAAGCCTTTGGGGAGTTCAACGTGCAAACAGCCAAACACTACGGCAACCTGGGCAGACTGTATCAGTCCATGAGGAAGTTCAAGGTAAGACTTTACTCCTGACCTAAAATCTGTGAGACCCCTGAAATCTGTCACTACAAATGAGGGGTTTCAGTGTCCATCATTCCCAGGTCAGTTGGTAGTTCTGTGCTTTATCATTCACCCCAAAAGCTTTATGCAATAGCAATCCATGGAGACGGATGATACCCTCAGAGGGTGACAGAGAAGAATTTGGAGAACTTGGTTTATGTTTGGCTTTGTTACTTTTTGCCTGTTACAAAATGCTACTGTTTGAGCTGCTACATAGTTAAGTTGATTTAAGCTAACTTTCCCCTCTTTCCGTGGGGTGGTGAGTGGTGTCTGACTGACCTGTGTGACTCTGCCCTGACAGGAAGCAGAGGAAATGCACATCAAGGCCATCCAGATCAAGGAGCAGCTCCTAGGGCAGGAGGATTATGAAGTTGCCCTCTCTGTGGGCCATCTCGCCTCCCTCTACAACTATGACATGAACCAGTATGAAAATGCTGAAAAGCTTTATCTGAGATCCATAGCAATTGGTAAGTGACTACAGGAAACTTAAAATTTTTAGAAAATAACTTGGCTGTTAATCTCTAGACAACATTCTGTGGCTAGAACATAAGTGGAGAGTGTAGGCAAATTTTATTGGTAAAAATAATGTGATAACTCAGATGCAGCCCATGGAGATCTTCCCGCTCAACTCGGCTTTTCTCTTGGGTTTCTCTAGGAAAGAAGCTTTTTGGTGAAGGATACAGTGGACTTGAATACGATTACAGAGGTCTCATTAAACTGTACAATTCCATTGGCAATTATGAGAAGGTGTTTGAGTACCACAACATTTTGGCCAACTGGAACCGGTTGCGGGACCGGCAGTTCTCGGTGACGGATGCGCTGGAGGACGTCAGCACCAGCCCCCAGTCCACGGAAGAAGTGGTCCAGTCTTTTCTGATGTCTCAGAACCTCGAGGGACAGAGCAGCTAAGAACTTGGTCAATTAACCAGTTAAGGTTTTTGCCCCCAGGTTACAGGGGGAAAAGTCATACTGTGAAATCTAAACCATGTAGTTCTCTGGGGGCTGGAATTTGCGTTGAAACACTGGTCCAGTCTACTGAAGAGTGCCCATACGGATGAATGTGTGTTAAATTCCTCTCAGCATGTGTATGGCATGTTTAGTTCGGCTCACGTTTTTAACTTGGTATTCCCAAAAAACCCCCTTCTCTCTCTCTTCTTTCAAAAGAAGCTACTTTGCAGAAAGTCTGCAAGAAAACATTAAATAAAACTGTTTGAGTTCAAAAGAGTTGCATTCTTATTACGGATGGAAGGTTTCATCGAGAGCTTTCTGCTGATTGACAGAGAGAACAAAAGCTGTACTCTGAGGAGCTGTAGGAGAAAGGTCTTGCTGCTGTATCACTGTAGCAAAGTTGATGGTAAATAGCCAGCAAAGGGAGATGTGCTGGCCTTGGCTGCTGCCTTACCAAGAGAAGTGGCAAAGACCCACTCTGGAGAGCACCCTCGCTCAGTGAGTGCCAGCTGTGCTGTTGTGGATGCCCTGAACTGGACCAGTACAGATCCCACAGACCAGCAAGCACAGTGGCCTCGGTGCCACCACCAGTGCTCCCCTGGGCAGGACCAGGACACCACGGTGGACCAGCCTGCTAGAGACCCGTTTTGGACCAGTGGCTTTAATTTAATATTTCTGCCCCTGCATTCACTTTGACAGTAGAACTCTCTCATTTAGGTGTCTGATCAGTGCAAATGATATCCATGTGATAGATCCAGAGCTAGGAAGTGAATTGATGGTTTGTCTGTACCCAGTGAGCTTCTGCAGAGATTGCTGGCAGTGCCACAGCTCCCCCATCCCTCTGCTGCAGCCACTCCTCCTTTCCTCTCCCATGGGCTCTCTCTGCTCCCAGAGGCCACACCGTGTTCATACCAGTCAAGAGTTTTGTATTCCAGTCCAGTTCCATTTTCTGTTTCTGGAGAACACAACTTACTGTACAGGTCGCAGGGGTCAGTGAAAATGCCAAAAAGCACAACAGGTCTTTTTTTTTGTGATGCTTCATTTCTACATTAAACAAGAGTACAACCAGAAACCGATTCCTTACGTTAATTTACGCAGCAGAGCTCAGCTGTACAGACCCTCTGAGAATGCCTCTCTCACTAGCTTGTCTTAATTCTTCTGTTGGGGGCTGTGTGCTTGTGTGGGTTTGGGTTCAGGTGTTGTTTTGGGGTTTGTTTTATTTCCTAATGTTGGGTAAGATTTGCAAGTCTGTGTGACACAAACTGGAACCGACTCGCTGCTGTTACCTCAGCTGTGCCCTGGATCTGGGATTCTGTGGCTTCTGTCACTTTGGGGCTCTCTCCCCCTCTTTTCAGGGTTTGTACCGTGGCCAGTCCTGCAGGGCTGGGACTGGATGTTCTGTTTGGGGTCTGGTTTCTGTTGGTTTATGGGGTTTGTGGCAGGGAAAGCTGCTGGATGATCTTCAGGGAAGAAATAGAGGTTTTGGACATGACTTGGAGCTTAATGGCTCTTCTAAGTGAAATTTTACAGGCCAATAGTTCATATTCTGGTGCCTTCAAATGTTTTTTTTTGGGGGGGGGGGGAAAGCTGGGTAATATCAACTTTAAAATGCAATGACATAATTAGTGAATGCAGATTAATGATTGCATATTTAGAATATCTTCACTGAGGTGAAAAGAAGTATTTGCATAAAACCCCCTGTGGTATTAGGACTTAACTGCAGTGTGTCTGCAACAGCTGCTCAGTGAAAATCCAACTTAGTTATGTGTGGATTTAAAATGTGATTTATTTATAGCAGTTTTTGTTTATGACTGTGTAGGAGCTACAGACAAATTCAGCTATACAAGGCAAAACCTTCTCCCTGAATGCCTGTGGCACTGACGAGTTAGAAAGTTCTTACGAGTTCTTAAATCCTTTTAAAAGGTATTTAAAGTTAAACAAAGTTTGTAGCAGTGTCAGGACTTGGGCAGGAAAGTGGCTTAAAGCTGTGCTGAAGAACCTGAGTGATTCTGTGCTGCAGGAGTGCTGGGGCTCCCAGCTGGGTGCCTGGGTTTGCACTGACCTGGCTGGAGATCATTCACCCGCTCTGTTCCAGCCCTGGGCTCTGCAGCTTTTGGCCAAGGAGCCCCGGAGGTGTTTGGGGTGAGGAGCATTGACTGACTGACACCACTGCCTGCCTGAGCCCTGCTCCTGCTCCAGCCCTGGCTGTGTCCCTGTTTGTGCTTTCATTCAGCTCAGGGCAGCCGGGCAGGAGCTGTGCTGGACGTGCCTGCGTTGGTTTGTTGGTGCTCTGATGGCTGCTCCTGTGTCCTTCCAGAGCTGCCTCAGCGCTGGAGGGAGGGCCCAAAGCTCCCTGGGAGCCCCTTTGGCCCAGGGGCTGTGGGGGTGACCCGAGAGGGCTCCAGGGTTCCTCCTGTGCCTGCAGGGAGCCCTGCCTGGGGCTGAGCTGCCCCTGCAGCTCCACCGGGCCAGGGCAGGTCCCTCGTGCAGCTGTGGCTGATTGCTGACACTGCTGGGCAGGGCTGGGCAGGATGATGCTGCAGCTGCAGGGACAGCACAGGAGTGACCCCGGCAGGCTTTGGTTGTGTCTCCCAGGTGGAGCTGTTGGAAGGTTTGTGTTGGCACCTGCAGCCTGGCTGGGATGCTGTGCTGCTGCTGCTGTTTGTTGCTCTCTCTGCTCCCACAGTTTGTTTGGTGCTGTTGAGCAGTGGGAGGCTGCTGGGATGGTGCCAGAGGCAGGTACAGGACTCGTTGGGGTGGCTCTTGCAGCATGAGCCCAGTGCTGCCCACTCTGCCCCTGCAGGGCCTGCAGTGCCTCTGGGGGTTTCCATGGGTCAGTACGGGGTGGGGGCCTGGCAGGTGGAACATCCATCCAGGAAGGAATGGTTGGCATTTCCAGACACACAAGGTGCCCACACAGGGGCTGTGTGGTGCTGGCAGTGAGAGGGCAGACCTGGGAGTGGCAATCCTGTGAAATGCATCTTCTCCTTGAAGGTGAGTAAAGGAATCACCCCAGAGTCACTGGCTGCAAGTGGTGAGCACGGGTGTCGCCTTAAGGTAAATTATTTTCACTCTTGATGGAGTTAAACCCTCAGTATTTGACTTTGTGTGAGGTTGTTTGGGTCAGTGAGGGGGGAGCTTGCTGGAGGTGCCATTGCTGCTGCTCATGGTACAAAATGCACATTGAAGTTCATTCCCTTTCAGTCCTGAGTGCGGGAGGGCACAGGAGGAGGAACCGGCCGTGCCTCAAACGGGGGAAGGTGTTGGCAGAGCCTCCCTCGGGTGATGGGCATGGGCTCGGGCAGGGCAGGTGCTGCTGGGACCAAGCTTTCAGCAGATCCTTCCTCCTGCTGCCTGTGCAGAGCCTGGCTTTACCTGGGACTCCTTGTTCCCTTATCAGATAATTCCTGGCCAGTGTCAGCCCAAAGCTGCCTCTGCATTGAGGGGGTGTTTGACGCTGCTGGGCCCTGGGAGGGCTTTGGGGAGAAGTGGGGAAAATTTCCTTTAGAAATCAACTCCAGAACCTGCAGAGAGTTGGCAGCACTGGGAATGCTTTGTCCCTCAATCTCAGGAACGTTGTGGGCAGTGGCACAGGTGTCCCTGGCTGTGGGCAGTGTGTGCTCTGGGGTCTCGTATTCCACTACTCCTTGCAATCCTCGGTATCTATAGCATGAGTGGCCTTAGTGAGTTTGTTGAAGTGCACATTTTTTTTTTTCTTTTCAAAAGTAAATTTTAAGATGAAAAAGATATATACTATATAAATATATAGAGATATTTAGAAACTTGGTTTGTGGTGCACAAGTTCAGTGTTGGATCGCTAAATACTCGTCGCAGGTACCATATGTGTAACTTTTCTTTTCTGTATATTCCTTTCTGGGAAGCAATGTTGCCATGGTAACTACAACTTTACAATTTCTTTACTACTTAATGATGTGAATGAATTCTACATTTTATTGGATATTACCGGGTTCAGTACTATTTTTATACTTTATTGAACTACAGGGGATTTTAATTTAATAGCATTAAAAAAAAAAGAAAAAGATGTTGCTTGAACTGTATAACTGTATAAATTGAACTAATTACACAAAGCCACCTCTAAACCAGAATCTCCACCTGTAGTGCCACATTCATTTATATAAAAGTATCTTGCTCATTACCAGGCCCTGCAGCCCCTCCCTGTTGTGTCAGGACAGTTTCCTACCCCCCCTCTCCTGCCACCCTTTGTGCCCACGGAGCCATCTCTGTTTGTAACCAGCATTGTGATATTCTGTAACTGTATTGCTCAAATGAAATATTGACCTAATAAATAGAGTGTTCCTGCAGCCTGGAGTACCTGCAGTGAATTGGTTACAGCCTCCCTCCCTCAGTG